GTGGGTATCCAAGCTTATTCGACAACACCGACACGTTCTTATTCCCTACCACCTCCCGACCAAAACCATACAAGAACTACCACACCCTGCTCTCAACAAAGTCCTATGGAACCACATGTGCAAGGTTACAGTACAAGGACGACATTGGCAACCCGAGCCGTGCAAGTGCCACGAGTTTCTACTTGAACATCCCCGAGCCGAACAACATGAAGGACACGTTGCCACAGGCCTGGAAACGCTTGACTTTTGCAAAGGCCAGTCCAACCTCGGCGCAGCCTTCACTGACGTCGGCGCCTGCAATGCCTTCTTTCCGTCCAAACAACGGCTACACGACCAAATTCTTGATCAACTCCGAGGGTGGCTTAAGCACCACTTATTTCCCAACGACGACCGCATCCTTGAGAGCTTCGAGACATTCTTTGAGGAACAGTGGCAACAACATAAAGAACAGCAACGACATGAGCCTCGACTCACACACAGACTCATCAAGCACCTGCTGTCCGCCCTGCCAGACAATTACATCATTCACAACGAGGACCACGCCAACGCCCACCTCATGATATATTGCCCCAACGTCTACAATCAGGCAGCGTTCAACACCTGGATGGACGAGAAAACATTTCTCCTCCTGGACAAGAGCCCCGAGGACATCAAAGAAGACATGGAAAGGCAAACACCACCAGTCGTTCGGAAGCACTACAAAAAACTCCTTGACTACAACAAGCCTATACCCTATGGGTACATTATGACGAAGCGCAAAAAGCAGTGGAGCAAGGGCCGCACGATTATCGCCTACTCCAACACGTGTGTCGGGCGACTCCTCAGAGTTGCAGCGTTGGCACTGCAGATGCTTAAAGCCACGTGGCCTCACCACTTCGGGAACATCGCCGCGCCTCAACTGTGGCAAGAAGTCCATGAGCTACTTCAAGCCAACGAAGAGCAGCCAGAACGAGAACTTATATTCCTCAACCACGACCTCGTGGGCTTCTTCAACAGCATTCCCCAGGTAGACATCATCCAAAGCGTGCGCTATCTTATCGCCGAGTTCTCCAAAGACAACAACGACATCCTTCTAATCGACCCCCACAGCAAACTTAACCCCGTACACTCA